CTCGGGTACGCTCATCTTGCAGATCCTCCGGCTCGTCCGTTAAATCCACTGCGTCTGGCTCGGTGGGATCATCTTGGTTCTCGCGTCTGGCAGGGTCGGCTCGGGTTGCGACTCTTGTGTCGCCGGTTGGTGTCGCGAACGTGAGTCTTGTTGGGTTGATGCCAGGTAAATCCCTCCGAGCTCGTGGCGGCCGAGTCTGGAAACGCGTTGTTTTTGGTTACCCACGTGTTGCGATTTCGTCGACTCGCTGTGCCAAGGTTTTGTTAGCTTTCTCTTGGTCATCAGCTTTCTTCTGGAATTTAACCATCAGGTCTTTCAGTTCGGCTAGAGTCGCTATGATCGTTGGATCGGCTTGAGGATTCTGAGGGTTCGGAGGGTTCGGGATCCCTCCTCCAGCTGGTGGTGTCTGACGACCGTCTTCGTTCATCGTCCTTTTCGGTAATCGAGTTCTGCGTCTTAGGTAAGAGAATTCTAAAGTATCCCCACAGACGGCGCCAAACTATGGAAGTCGAAACTAACACAATCAAGATTTGTCTAGGGTTTTATTTTAGGGATACGATAATCGTGAATTCTCAAAGAACAACAGAACGATTGTAACCAAAGATGGTGTTCTTGATATTATTAAGAAAAAGATGACTTTGATCGTACAAGAGTTTGATCGTATAAGGAAAAAGATGTTTGTGCTGTGAGAGCTTTTGTAGTGTAAATTCTAGAGCGGTATTGCCTGCCCTTTGCTTGAGCCTTGAATCTCTTTATATAGGGGTGGTAAATCGCCTCTTCAGCGATATTCTCGGAAGATTTCCATTTATCTTGAAGTCGGCTCAGAATATCGCGGATTAGGATAGTTTCCTTATTTTTCGGAGTCTTTGGGAGATTTCCTGATTTGAGTCGATCCTTCTAGATTCTTTCTTATCATTTCTGGGTATATCGGAAATGATCCTTCTTGTTCGGAAATGATACCTTGCTTGGAAATGGTACTTTGAAAGCGAATATTTACCAAGTCTTTATCTCGGGCGATGATGAAGACTTCACCTCGGAGAAACTTGTGCACTCGGCTCGGGTACACAGGAAGGACTGGCTCGGGCACTCTAGGATGGCTTGTTCGGGTGTCCCCGAGGCGATGGGCTCAGAAACTCCCGAGGCAATTGGGCTCGGGTGCTTGAGACGTCTTGTTCAAGTATCCCCGAGGTGATGGGCTCGGGTGCTTGAAACTACTTGTTAAAGGTATCCTCGAGGCGATGGGCTCGGGTATACTAAATCGATTAGATGGATATCCCGAGGTGAATGATGCGATGCCCCGAGGTGATCACTGAAAGACTCCCGAAGTGTTCTAAGTCTGGCTCGGCGCCAAAGGATGGAATCATACCCCAACACCGAACAGTCACTTCCAGCTGATGTAGAGGTTCAGGAGACAATCGAAGATCCTGATATTCCTTCCGAACCCGAACCAAGGAAGTTTATACTCAAGGATAATACTTCCGGTAATGATTGGGGGGCTGACTGGAGGGTACCCATCAAAAATTTCATTCTTAATGGAGAACTACCATCTGACAAATAGCAAGCTCGCAAATTAAAAATCAGCGCTAAGTATTGTATAATTAAAGAGTCATTGTACAAGCGAGGCGTCAGTGATCCTTATCTTTTATGTATTTTCGGACCCGAAGTTGAAATAGTGACAAGCGAGGTCCACGAAGGGATTTGTGGTAGTCATTCTTCGGAGCGAGCAATGGATTTCAAAATCAAACGATTAGGATATTTCTGGCCAACTATGATTTCAGACTGCATTGATTACGCCAAACGGTGTAAAAAGTGTCAGATGGACGCTCCTCTTATTCACCAGCCATCTGAAATTCTATCACATATATCCGCTCCATACCCTTTCATGAGGTGGTCGATGGATATAATCGGTCCGATGCATCGTTCAACACGAGGCGTCCAATACTTATTAGTTCTAACAGACTATTTTTCCAAATGGATTGAAGCTGAAGCTTATATAAGCATACAAGATTCCGTAGTAAAGACATTCTTGTGGAAACACATTATTTGTCGCTATGGAGTTTCCTACAAAATAGTAACGGACAATGGTCCTCAATTCATTTCGAATGATTTTGAAGATTTCTGTTCCGCTTGGTGAATAAAACTTAGCTACTCAATGCCGAGGTATCCTCAAGGAAATGGACAAGCGGAAGCCTACAATAAAACCATTCTCAGCAATCTTAAAAAACGCTTGAGTGCTCGGAAAGGTGGATGGTATAACGAACTGCAACCTGTGTTGTGGGCTTACCGGACAACCCCGAGGCGGGAAACGGGTGAAACTCCATTCTCACTAGTTTATGGGATGGAAGCCGTAGTCCCGGCCGAGCTAAATGTCCCAGGTTTGCGCCGAAGCGAAGCTCCACTTAACGAAGTTTCGAATTCTAAATTATTAGAAGACGTTCTCGATACAATCGATGAAAGGCGAGACCAATCCCTTATTTGACTTCAGAATTATCAACAGTTGACCGCTCGATACTATAACTCAAAGTTGAAAAACAGACCTTTAAATGTAGGAGACTTTGTTTTAAGGCGAGTGTTCGATTATACAAAAGAAGAAGGAGCTGGAAAACTCGGTATTAACTGGGAAGGCCCTTATCAAATCGCTGAAAAAATCCGAAACGGTGTATACCGTTTACAAGACCTTGATGGAAATCCCGTTCAAAGGCCTTGGAACATAATCAACTTGAAAAAGTTCTATTGCTAAAGAAAACACATTCGAACTACGATTCGGCTTGATCCCATTCTGGGTACGTAGGTAGCTCGCTAATCACGAGTCCAGCTATAACATAAAAACAAAAATATCATTCCAGTCATAGAATCTTTTTTATAAATTCGATATTCGAGCATGAATATAAAGATACGTTGCGAACAATGTATAAATAAATATTTCTTGCTAAGCTAAGACCGGATCTAGAAGGGTCTTGAATTACGGAACAACTCCGCTCCTTGACCAGCGAGGTCAACAATGTTCATTATGCAACCTGGCATGTTTCCGTACTCCTGAAGTCCGAGTTCGATCCAATCGGAAGGATGGGCTTCGAGGCGATGAAGCTCGCGAGATATGTCGAGGCGACGCTTCTCTAGCTCCATTATCCGTCTCCTAATCTTTTTCTACTTATCTTCGAGCTCATCATGCCGAGTGATAAGCTGAAGAAAATAAAACGCTACGTTTAGCAATAACAAAAAGAAGTTAATCACTAGGATGGAAAATACCTTATTGATAAACTCCTCAACCTTAACACGATCTTGAGGCAACAATCTCTCAATCAGGACGATCGGAATCTGAATGCTAATTCCCTTCTTTAATATTTGTGAATCTTTTGGTTCGCCAGACTCTCCTGCTTTTATAAGCTCGATGTCCGACGTCCTCGAAGGATCAACACTCATCACTTTGAACAAGTCTGAAGGATTCTCTTATGAGTTACCTCCCTTGAACATATTTGTAGAATTGTTGTTGAAACTCAATGACAGACTACACCTACTTTATACTCGAAAAATTATTTGATTGCATTTAAGAGGATTAATTGACGATTTCCCAAATCTGAAATTACGACTTCCATGGAAATGTAATCGAGTTAACTGCTAATTATATTCCCTAGATTAAACGCATTAAATGAGATTTAAGTTAATCGGCGAATTTAAAGCAAAAAGGGGAATGTAATTAATATTGTTGGGCCTCCAGCCCAATAGTTTTTTACATAATATAAAAAAAAATAAAACTAAGAAGGAGGGGGTTTCGCAGGAGGAACTTCGTCTGATGGCGAACCATCTTCGCGTTCGCCGGGTTCGAGGCTCCTTTGGTAGATATCCCAATGCTTTTCCAGGAACCTAATGTGTTCTCGAAGACAGCCGGGAATGCGGGCGATAGAATCAAATCCCCTCCTCTCCCAGTTGTGAACGTCCGACTCCAAACGTTGGATCTTCCTTTCTACTCTAGCAATCCGATCCTCAAGGATACGGCGTTTTGCTCTGAGACGTTGCCTTTCAGAGCAAAGGAAAACATATCTTTCCGTGATCTGTAAATAACAGATACATTACGAATCTATTAAGTAAAACCTTGAAACTATTGGTACTAGGTTCAAACCTGCTCCATGAATTCATGGCACTCAATCTGTTCCTCCCGGGACATGGAAGGAAGAAAACAAGGAATAGCCACCCCTTGTGGAGTGAATCCATCCCCCGACGGGAACAGAGATTCGCTTGAGGGGAATCGTGGTGAGTTAGGACCAGAAGGTTCGCCTTGGTTAGAAGTCATCTTTGATCTAAAAAAGAAGAAATATGGGAAATTTCCAAAATCCAACTCTCCTTATATAGGAAAAATATATAAGGGCACTCACTCGAGTATTTATTGAAAAAGAAAGTTAAACGTCAATCTATTGATCTGACTGTTATGACCTCTCGATTCTCGTGTACATGCACAAATAAGACCTACAAAATATAGGTTATTCAAGTATCACTTAACACCTAGTAGGCGAAATTAACTTTGAACTCGAAATTCGAAGACAATCAATAAATGGTATCACACCTTTTAATCTCTTAGGGAAAGCAAACAGTTCTCACTAGAGGTTTCCCTAATCGAACACATTTGAAGTATCGCAAAGTGTTCTTGTAAGCCGAGCTCTAACCTCGCAACCGAGAGACCGAGGAAAAATTCCAATGTTTTTTCTTTAAAAAAGGCAAGTAGGTCTGATCAACCTATCTCTCCTATAATCTTAAACCATTTCGGTTAGGAGGACTTTGCAAACCCTCCAGGTAAAATCGATGGTTTCCACCAAAATTAAATATTTCTTCCTAAAGAAATTTTAATTAAACCCCCTTGGGAAATTTATTCAAAATAGTAATGAAAAGCCCCCTTGGGCAAAGAAAAACTCAAAAGTAGTGAAACAGCCCCATGGCCAACAAAGCGAATTTCATGTCTTAAAATCAAAAGGGACAATCCCCATCAAAGGTGAATGCAATCACCATCATTCATTCACAGGCGAACCGCCTTCTTCTCTTACTTGACTTGAGACAAGAGCACCCCCAACGTCATCGTCTTGAGTCGCGAGAACCACTTCAGGGTTAAGCGAGCTAGCATCGAGAGGAGTCTCGTTCCTCGATTCAACATCGTCTCCAATAATCGAGGAGATGACAAGTCCCTGATCAGAGAGCCCCTGAGCTCGTCCCGAGGAGATTCTGTCAACATTGGTTCCGAACTCATTAAAATGAGCGCGAGGAGAACCGGTTAACACCATTGCGTCCAAGGACAAACCAATGTTTGGTTCGGTCAATGGAGGGGAATCAGCACCAACCGTCTCTTTCTCTTCAGCCAAATTGACTTTTCCGTCCTCTATCTCTTTGATCAAATCGAGATTGCTTTTTATTTCATCGCGTTCGGAGTTAAGCTTGTTCCAAGCTTTGTCTGCAGCGATAAATTCCTGCAAAGCAAGAAGAAACTTTTTCCCAGCTCCCTTAACCTCCTTCCGAGCATCGTGAGATATTTTGCGAACATCGCGATCTTTCAGTTCGGAAAGAGACTCATTTTTGCGTTCGAGCTCCTCAGAATCTGCTTTAACCTTGTTAAGCTCTGATCTCAGAAGCTCAATCTCGCCTTTTGCGAAGTTATGAACAGCAAGGGCAGTCTCTAGCTTTTGCTCTGTCTCAATCAAAGTCCTCCTTGTCTCCTCGCCGGATCTTTCGAGTCTCTCGATCTCTTCCTGGCGAGCCGAGTCAAGGCCAGCAGATTCCTGCACAGGCCGACTAGATTGCAGTTTTTCAATCTCTCCTTCAGCGGCAGCAACTTTCTTGGAAACTTTGGCGAGCTCCTCTTCGTAAAAGTTCACAATGCTATTCACATCCAAAGTTGCCTAATAAAAGAAGTTTCATCTTTAAAAAAATATATATATATTTTCTTTCAAAATCGGCTGTTTAAGGATGCAAACAGTCAAACCTGGGAAGAGTGGAATGAATGACTGATGTACATCTTCATGATATCAGGCTTCCACCAATCAAAGGATGGAAGCTTCTTCCCAACACGGGTGTGGAAGCACCTAAACATATTCCCGATCTTCTCTTTATCTGGAATAAAGTTAGTTGTGTGAGAATTGAGTTTTCTTTAAAGAAAGAATCTATTAATCTCAAACAACAAAATGATAGTTAAAGGTTACCGGCTTGAGACGAAGCTCTGGCAACCAGTCCTGAGTTCGGAGATGATCAAACCCTAGAGGTATTGCCTCGGGGTGCCTAGGGGGTAACATCCCTGAACCCAGCGGTTCCTTCAAAACTGTTCCTGAATCAGGATTTGCATCCTGAGCTTCAGCAGGTTCAGGAATTAGAAGATTCGAAGGAGCGGCTCTGCCCTTCCTTGTGCTCTTGGGACGTCCCTGGGGCAGGGGTCCAAGTTCCTCATCCTTCCTCTTCTTCATAAGAGAAGTGTCACTTGCAAGGCCTTCCTCCTCAACGGTGGCAGCGGCCATGTTGTCTGCTGCTGGGATGGAGGGAGAAGCATTGATCACAGCAACCGCCATTGACTTTGAACCTTCGAGAGATCCATCGTCAACAATGAGAGTTTTCCGGTAGACTTTGTCGTCCTCGGTGGGAGTTGCGTTTTTCTTCTTTTTCTCGATTAGGGAAATCTGATTTTTAATCTTTTTGTTTGCCTCTTTGATCTTTCTCCTGTCTCGGGCATTCAGACTCGAGAGATCAATCTCAGCAGGAGGAGGGTCGACGGGTCGAGTAAGTGTCATTCTGACAGAATACCCGGCGCCGTGAATTCTTTCCAGAGTAAAAGAATTCCAATTAACTGGCCTCTCCGAGACGGCCTTGTAAAATTTGAGAAAATCGACGGATGGAACTGGTCGAATCTGAGGACCTACGAGAAAACAAAGAAATGTTGAAACGCAGTTTGAAATAACAAAGGGAGCTTATTCAGTTAAGTCCCAATCTCTACCCAAATTTGATGACCAGTGAGTTCGAGGGAGTTCGGAAGAACTTTGAATAGAAAAATTATTTATGCGGAAGAAGAACCAAAACTTCCTCCAGGCGGTGTCCTTTAAAGGAAGGCCATCAATGAGATTCCGATCCGCGTTTGGATAAAGGGTATAATACCCAGAAGTTCGGGATTCGCGAGCTTGGAAAAGTTCCAAGAGTTCGCAAAGTCCCAGTGAGTAGCCCGCCTCCGCCGCAACAGTGAGGGTACACAAAATATACTGGAGCATGTTCGGCGACATCTGGGAGAAAGCAATTCCCAGATGGCTGAGGTAGACAAGAAGCACCTTAGGAAGGGGAAGGAATAAGCCGCACCCTTTGAAATAAATTTCATAGGCACAGCAGTAACCTTCTCGCCCCGACTCCGGAGACTCGAAGGGCTCCGGGACTACCATTTCTACCTCAGGGGGGATGAGACATAATCTTCGAAGATTGTTGAGAGAATCGATAGTTGATTCACTCTGGGGGTGAAGATCAAACCCATCTCCGGTTTGAATCTAGGATTCGGACCCTTCACCCATGAGAGCTTCGAGATCGTCAGCCTCGAATTCGCAGAATTCGGAAGAAAGGTTCGACATTTTACGAAAGGGATTTTTTACCAGAAAGAAAACAGTGACTTCTGTAATAAGAATGAAGGTTTTCTAGGTAAAGAAAATAAGATGGAAAAGTAATATTACCTCTTAGAACCCTAGAGTATGATGAAAGACCGCCTCGAGAATATTGGGAAGTGGGACAGTTTTCCCCGTGGTATTAATATAAAATTAAGAAATTAATGATGACGGTTGTTAGGGAAATCAAATCATCTGATTATCCGAGATCAGCGTAATAGCGAAAAACATGGAATAATTTCGGAATGTTAAAGATCTCAAGTCATTAATTACAGTTTACTTAAGTCTTCAAAGCAGAGCACTCAGCTCGCAAGACTTGGGGGGCTAAATGTTGGGGTCGGATCCCACACATCTTCGGTAGGATCCACTTGGATCTTTCCACGTCATTATTACATAATAATCCTCTTGGATTTCTAGATGTTTCATTGCGAGAATCGAGCTCGACCCGTCGGAAGTTCGATTCAGTTTATTAAAGAGCTCGATCTTTACCAGTACGGAGTTCGCTCTTATTCAACATACAGTTCGCATAAAGGAAGGCCGAAGCGAGGAGAATATTGTTCGAGGTTCGCGGCAGCGTCAAGACGCGGGAGTTCGGAGTCAACAAGAAAGAGTTCGGAAGATCCACGCGAAGCCCAAGATAGTTCAAATTCAAGCCGTTTCGATCAAATAGTAACCTACATGATTAATGCGGATCAATGCAATTATGAGCAGTAAATGACCGCATTGATCATGTTTTCTCTATAAAAACAACCTCAAACGCATGTGTTTGGGAGAGAACAACTTTTTCCTCTTACGATCAAGCAATACAACATACTTTTTCTTTTACAGTTTTGCAAAGCTTTTTACTATTTTATTCTTTCCAAAGTTCATTCGCTTTACTTAGTTTCTTGGTTACTTCCCTTTTCAATTCCATATTTTCATTTGTTGATTTTAGAGTTTTTCTCCACAAATATACTTAAAGACAATCGAGTGTGAATCCTACATCCACAGTCTCCATTCATAGCACAACGTCATAGCACGGTTTACTAGACTGCTATTGAAGATTAGATGTATTTTTTGTATTCATATGATAGCATTTAAATGACGCTAATAAATAGTGATTAAAATGATATCATTTTTCCTACGCTATGGATATGTTTTCATTAAGCGGGAAAGTAAAATCATTTTTTCCGCCTAACACTTAACAAAACAATTAAGTTTTTTTCCCCACTTTGTCGAATAGACTTATTATTTTCCCCAATTTCTCGAAAACCCTAAGAACTAGCCATCTCTGCTCAACCTCTCTCAATCCGACAATTTGCCGCTGATTAATCTCGCCTCCGCCGTCCTTTACGGTAGCCGCGAGACTAAACCTACAGCCGGTCCTAATTCCGCCTATCTCTGTCCGAGTTGAGCTCTAATCGAAGGCATGTGTCTCTAAATCTATAAATTTGTTTCTTACTTTAATCTGGCTTGTTTTCTTTTAGATTTTGTGAATCTCGACAATAATGTTGTTTGATTTTGGTTTTTTAAAGTCTGGATTTCTGATTTTAACTGATTTGAATCGTCAAAGTTTTTTTTTCTTTTGCATGTCATTGTTCTTCGCGAATTTAGATCTATTTGTTTGTGTGGTTTGCTTTAGGCGTAGCTAGATAGATGTCAGTACAATTTTGCTTTCAAGATTAAGATTTGTTTGGTTTTTTTTTGAAATTTGTGAGATTGAGACAAGTACTGCTTATGTTATTGTCGGACACAATTGGATGGTTTAGGAAGTTCTAACTGTTTGTACTGAGCATTTTTTGAATCTTTAGATCTTTTTAGTACTCGTCAAACACATTCTTGCAAAACCAAACACATGAAACTAGATATACTGATTCTGTAATTTTATTTTGCAATTTTTGCTGTTTGAAATAATGGGAATTTGGAGCTGATCTTAGGCTCTTATCACACTACAGGTTAGTACCATCTTTATTCCTCAATATTGAACATTACTGTGGGTTTTGTCTGCTTGGTATTATTTATTTCTGTTTGATTTGTTAGACTTATGGTGATTTGTGCTTGACAAAGTTCATTGATCAGTTTTCAAATCAATTTATATAGGTTGTTTAGATTGAGTTAATATATGAGTTTATGTTATATATTTGCTAATTGGTATGAATATAAACTGCTTTTTTGATTTGTAAAGAGTATTTTATTAAATCTGAAATATTTTTAATGGTACTATATAAAAGTTTTAAAATACGCAATATATAATGCTCGACAAGGAGTGGGTGCACCTCTGCAGGTAAGTTGTTTTTTTTATATAGGCTAGTTTCAGTAGGAAATTAGGAGACTTTGCATGTTTTTTTAATTCCCTTTTTAACTCTTTAATAAAGAGTTGATCCTGCTTATGAGAGAGGAGCTACAAATTTTGTCCGGACTGTGGCTGCGGCGATGGGAGACGTTGATATGATTATTTGTCCTTGCATTGATTGCCGTAATATAGATCGTCACTCAGGCAGTGTTGTAGTTGCTCATCTGGTAACAAGGGGAATGGACGAGGCTTATAAGAGGCAGTCTGATTGGTATCATCATGGAGAATTGATACCAATGGCTGAAAGTGAAAGCAATCAAAGCCAGTGGAATGATGAGATTGTTGGGTTATATCAAGCTGCTGAATTTTTGGATGAGGAGTTTGCTGCGAAACTTGAAATTGCAGAGGGTGATGACAAGAAGAAAGATGATTTTCTTGAGAAGATTGCTGATGCTGAAACGCCACTATATCCAACTTGTGTATCACTATTCAGACTTAACACAAAGAATGGCTGGTCTGACAAGAGCTTCAATGATCTGCTAGAGACATTGCCTGAGATGCTACCAAAGGATAATGTCTTACACACCTCAGTATACGAGGTGAAGAAATTTTTGAGATCCTTTGATATGGGTTACCAGAAAATTCATGCATGTGTCAATGATTGCTGCTTATTCAGAAAGAAGTTCAAGCTGCTTGAGAACTATCCTAAATGCAATGCTTCAAGATGGAAGACTAACATGCACACTGGTGAATTAAAGAAAGGAGTCCCGCAGAAAGTATTACGCTATTTTCCAATATTTCCGAGACTTAAAAGGATGTTTAGGTCTGAGCAAATGGCTAAGGATTTAAGGTGGTATTTCAGTAACAAGAGCGACGATGGCAAACTCCGTCACCCTGTGGATTCAGTCACATGGGATCAGATGAATCACAAATACCCATCATTTGCAGCAGAAGAAAGGAATCTGAGGCTTGGACTTTCTACGGATGGATTTAATCCATTCAATATGAAGAATATAAGGTATAGTTGTTGGCCTGCTTTGCTTGTAAACTACAATCTGCCACCTGACTTATGCATGAAGATGGAGAACATCATGCTTACCTTGTTAATTCCTGGGTCTCAACAGCCGGGCAATAGTATTGATGTCTACTTAGAGCCACTCATAGAGGATCTATGCCAGCTGTGGAATTATGGTGAGTTAACATATGACGCCTATAGTAAAACGACTTCTACACTTAACGAAATGCTTCTATGGACGATAAGTGATTTTTCTGCTTATGAGAATCTTGCTTGCTGCAAAGTAAAGGGTAAAATGGGCTGTCCTTTATGTGGGAAAAATACGGACTCGACATGGTTGAAGTTCAGCAGAAAACATGTCTATATGTGCCGCAGAAAAGGTCTTCCACCAACACATACTTATAGGGGAAAGAAGTCATGGTTTGATGGAAAAGCTGAACACAGGAGAAAGGGAAGGATACTAAGTGGTCGTGAAATTTTTCAAAACCTGAAAAATTTCAAAAACAACTTTGGAAATCTGAAACAAGCTGCAAGAAAGAGAAAAAAAGGGGACAATATATACTGAATTAGACTATGACAGTGAGGATTATCTAGTGAGTCAGAAGAAGATGAGGAGGAAGAAGTATAAGTTCACGAGGAGGAGTTATCCAGATTGAAGAAAAGGTCGATTTTATTCAAGCTACCTTATTGGGAGGAACTCCCTGTTAGAGATAACCTATATGTAATGCATGTGGAGAGAAATGTGGCTGCGAGTATTGTATCAACATTGTTGCATTGTGGGAAATCAAAAGATGGTTTAAATGCTCGTAGAGATTTGGAGGTTCTTGGTATTAGGAAGGAATTGCACCCTAAATTCAGAGGAAA